AGCTCCCTACCCCCTCCCCATTTCTGAAGAAGGGTCCCGACCCAAAATGTCAACTTTCCTGCTCCTCTGATGCTGCCTGGCCTGCTGTGTTCCTCCAGCTCCACACTGAAATATAAAAATACTGTGCGTCTCAACATTCCTTTCTAAACTGGTATAAATTGGAATTCCGGGCTGAACAATGGTTCCAAGCAGCCACCTGTGTTTGTGTATTTTTCCCAGAGCTCAGCCCAGCTGTCTCCTTTTACTCTGAAAGTTTTGAAAAGTCCATGGTCTTGTCCTGTATTTTAGATGATGGGGATTTTTGCTTAATCCTACTCTGCTGGGTTTTCCAGCAACTTCCGTTTTTGTTTTTGATTTCCAGCATCTGCAGTTCTTTCGGTTTACAGTTTCTTGAATGTTATTAGAGTTGTGCTCCTTCACACAAGTAGAGATTATTCCAGCATGCTTTTGACTTAGTCAGAAGTCGCACAGCACCAGGTTATAGTCCAACAGGTTTGTTTGAAATCACAGACTTTTGGAGCATAGCCCCTCTGTCAGGAGAATTGGGAGAAAAGAGCACACAGACACAGAATTTATAGGCAGAGAGATCAAAAGATCGTACAACTGGTGTGAGTGGAGTGTGGAATAATAAGTCTCTGCAGGTGACCAAGAGTGTTAGACGGTGTGAGTAAAGTGTCAACAGCTGAATGACAAGCGAACAGATGAACTTTATTCCAATTAAATGAGGCAGAGAGATAATTACAAAAAAACAAAGTAAGATTATGCTGGAGACAAACTAAATGATTGGAATAACATGATAGGTATAAGAGTCGCGTGCCGAGGATCTAACCAAAGTAATCAGTAATCCAAAATTGTACATACTAATTAAGGTAGAGAGATCATAACAATTTATCAAAATGATGGTGCAAAACAGGACAGGGAGGAAAGGCTGATAGATACAGAACAGTGTCGTGGGGTCACATGTAGCACCCCAAAATGCCAACATTTTCATGCACAAGTTTGTTCTTTGCTGCGCAAACCTCCAACCAATACTATACACCAAATACATGGACAATTTCTTCCTTTGGACCCATGGCGAGGAATCGCTGAAATGACTCCATAGTGATGTCAGCAAGTTTAATCGCACCATCAGACTTACCGTGGACTACTTTTCAGAATCAGTCTCATTTTTGGACACACGCGTCTCCATCAAGGACGGACACCTCAAAACCTCACTCTACCGCAAGCCCATGGATAACCTCACAATACTGTACTTCTCTAGCTTCTACCCTAAACATATTAAAGAAGCCATCCCCTAAGGACCAGCCCTGCGCATATGCAGGATCTGGTCAGATGAGGAGGAATGCGACTAACACCAAAAGATTTTGAAGGACGCCCTCATAAGAACAGGATACAATGCTCAACTCATCGATCGCCAGTTCTGACATGCCACAGTGGAAGACCTCCTCTGAAGACAGTCACAGGATATGACGGATAAAGTATCCTTTATCGCCCAGTACTTCCCCGGAGTGGAGAAACTACGCCATGTCCTTTGCAGCCTTCAACATGTCATCGATGACGATGAACAACTCGCCAAGATCATCCCTACGCTCCACTTCTCGCCTTCAAACAACTGACATACCTTTTAAACAGACCATCGTTCACAGCCTACCCAGCCTTCAGGACAACATCGACCACAACACCATACAACCCTGCCATGGTAAGCTCCCCACTTATAGGTTACTCCTTACCTCCCCCACTCTATCTTCTGTATATAAGCCAATATTTTCCCAGCTATCATAAGTTCTGAGGAAGGGCC